TCATCATCACTTTCCTTTGGATCTTCTCCCACCTCATCGCTTTCTTTTGGATCTTCTCCCTCCTCATCACTTTCTTTTGGATCTTCTCCCTCCTCATCGCTTTCCTTTGGACCTTCTTCTTCCTCCCTCTCAGTTGTTCTGGTGTGTTCCTTTTGACCTTCTTCCTCCTCGTCGCTTTCATCTGGACCTTCTTCAGACTCAGGCTCTGGGGGTGTTTTTTGCTGAGCCCGACGCTCTATCTCCTGTGGGTTTGGGTCTTGCTCGGCTTCAGGCTCTGGGGGTGTTTTCCGTTGGGCCTGCTGATCCTCACTTGTGGGATCTGATGCCGCCTCATCTGGGGTGCCATCACTTTCCTCTCCCATTGCCTCATCCTCTTCACTTTCCTGCTCTTCAGACGAAGCCGCGTCCTCCTCATCGTTTACTTCTGCTTTGGGAACTTCACTCTCATGCCCACTTTCATCCTCACCTTCTTCTTGCTCTTGTTTGCATTCTTCTTCTTTCATGTCTGCATCTGCGTCTTCCTGAGAGAACGCGAGTCATACTCTATTTTGAAGAGGTGGCAAAGAACATGCATCACAGTGAAAAAGATCCAAGACTCTTATGAAGGTAACTCCTATGCCTATGACCAACCCCAAATAACATCCTCCAAACAATTTTAAACAATAAATAAGTTAACGAGTCCTTTGGTGGGGCCACATCGTGAGAACCAGAAGCATCACCACCAGGGTTCCTCAGTGTTCAAATGCATGATACATGTGTTCCAGCACTGCACTCATTCATACTCATCCTGTCAAATCAAGACAAGCCACAAATGCTCAAGATTGAATTCTGGGATGAAGGCATCAATATCCATCGGCTGGGTCTCCATGTCTTCCATAGACATAGACTTCCTGGGATATGTTTTATATATACAGCGTGCCAAGTTCCCATAGCTGGTTTGTTTTGGTTTGGTGCAAGGATTGCACAACACCATTTGCACATAAAGTGTCATTTTTTCTTTCTTGAGTTTTGCTTCCATCTTTTTGCCAGGAGATACGTAGACAGTCCCTTTTCTCTTTTGCTTGGCATGGTTTACGAGAATGGAGTGCACCCGAAAAGCCTCAGTTGCAAGCATGGGGGAAGGTTTCATGGTGTAAAAGATGTGCACCCCAAAGTGTTCGATCAAGGGACTTGATCTACAATCCAAGACTGCAGGTCTTCATCACTTCTTCCGAAACCTGGGTGCTGGTTTTGGCTACTAGGATGTTTGTTGACATTAACGCATGGGCTTTGCAACTCCAAGAACTGAGTGGATGACGCAGTTTTTTCTTCCGAACAACCTTCTCCACAACTTTCCGGATTTGAGTTTCCCTTGGAACCCGTTTCAAATCACAAGCAGTGTATGCGCTCCGGATCCATTGGTTAGATCCGATTCTCAGATCTCCTCCAGGTGCTAGCTCAAGTTCCTTCTTGACATAATCATAGGGCACCCTTTGGACCATAGCATCAAGCAATTTCCTCAGATATTTTAAACCACATTTGCATCGGACCCATCCCACCAACAATGCGCATCCATGGCAGCTAAACAGGTAGCCAAGAATCTTCCCTTCTTCATTCAGCTTCACTGGGTGCGACATGGCTCCGTTGCAAAAGAGGAAAAGTGGATCCCTGCATATTAGATTAGCACATAATCCAGGGGTATAGCCCAATTGAACCTCTCTGAGTTAGGATCTACCTTGAACGATTGGTGCCATGTCCTTGAAAGAGCATTGCGTCTCCTTGCTCTCGACCGATGGCAGGCTGCGGAAAACCACAAGTTCAAGAAGCACCACCTCACTTTGGCTGGATCATGGTTCATGTGCATTCAATCTTGAAGTCTTCGGACTCAAAAAATAAGGGGCGCTCAATTAGTTTCAATGCTAAGGGGTGCCAATTGGGCACCCCTTTGAACTCCCTGGTATGATTATATGTATATTATATATTATGTACTGTATATGTCTCCATCCGGTCCACGTACGGCAATGCCAGCCCCTCGGTCCATGACCCATGCGGATGGATTCCAAGGCACGGGGCCCAAGTGCCTCGGTGTCGAGCTCGAGCCGGACGTGTGACCCCAAAACAAAGCCCCGTTGGGTATCGACAGCTAAGGGTTATTGTTTTGGGATCCCCAGGAGGTTCCCGTTGGATTTCAGTCTGGCGCAACCAACGCCAACAAATCAACCCCCCCCCCGGATGAAACTCATCCAGGGCTGCACTGGATGTGCTGCATTTGCTCTGCAAGCTGTGTAGTATAAAACTCTCTGGCGGTCTTAAAGCACAGCAATCAACAACTCATCACTCCAGTCACCTCCTGCTCACACGCTGCGGGGCCCCACCAACCGTGCACCATTCTGCGAGGTCCAGGGATGGACAAAAACATCACGACAGGCGTGGAGTTGTGGTCGGGGTGGCCGATGGTAACGGAGATCCCCAACAGATCCCAACAAACAGAAAGGGGTGAACACCGACCTCATCCGAACTGCACTTGTTCTTGGTGGGGTGGAGTGGAGGGGCCCCGCCCCCCCCCTTCTGGCTCACCTTGAGAAGGTGAAACTGCAGGTAATCGAGGATGATTCATGGTACTTCCTGGCTAATGGGTATGCAACCTTATGCAAAGCAACCAGCTCCACGGCCCCCTGGTCCGTTTCTGCCAAATGCCGGGCCTGTCGGTGGGGGCGAGCTGTTGCTTCCCCTGAGCCCTAAGCATCGATTTCCTATATTATACAGTCAGTACCCTTCGACAACCCAACGATTGGCCGGACTCCCAGGAATCGTCCCAACATGTCCCTCCTCCAACAATCATGGATGCCGGAACATGGGCCCCAAAAGTCGGTTCTCAAAATCTAAATCTCCCCCTCTACAGGGCCATTGATCAGTGTCCATGGTCTTAGAGAGTGCCCACTAGGATCTTCTAAGGTGAGGTTGTGAAAATAGGGAGAACCGCACAAATGATCAGTTTGGGTGTATGTTCAACCCTTCCATAGAGTCAGTCGGAGTGGGTGTCTTCCTATTTCAATACGCACCCGTGTCTTCCTTCGATCTTCCCTTCCAAGCCATGCTGCTCAGGCCACCACCCAATCCCAAAGCTGACTGCCCCTGCGATGAAGAGGCGCGCAAAGAAGGTTCAAGTGCCGGTTCTGTGGGAGCTTGGAGTTCTCAGGTGTTCTTTTTTGAGAGCGGGTGTGCTTGGGAGAGCACACACTAGCTCAAGACCTTGAGAAAACACTGTAAATACCGTGCACCCGTTCTGTTTTTTTTTGGGGTGGGGTGTGGAGAGACGGTCTGCTCGTGAATGTCCTGCTGTCCTAGCACCTAGCAGGTCAACCGGTCAACCTGACAGCAAGTGACAAGCAGGTTCAGAGTAGATGGCACACATTGAAAAATGGCCTTTCGTCCCATCTAATTACTCTGAACTATGGACTGTAACCATGAGTCATCAAGAACTTCTTAGTCCCCCAGGATGGTCAAGGCATACCAGTGCAAGGTGGTCTTGCTCCCTTCCTCCTGCAAGCCCCAAGGCTCATGCAAGTCCCTGGCCCCCTGCAACTCGCTCCACTTGAGGTGAAAGCCAAACAAAGCCTACTACCCAAAACAATTCTCTTGCCCAATCAAAGCGCCACCCCCGAGTGGCTAGCCTTGCACATGGACTGACAAACGTTTCACATGTTTCACAAACTGACAAGTTATGACAAGTTGCCAACCAAAAACTAACCACCAGAAATTTCTACCGATCTCAGGTAAACTTAGGTTACACACCTGTGGGCACCGGGTGTCGGCCTGGCAGTACTGAACCTGCCCCTGATCCACAAAGTACCTCACGTGCAGGATTCAGGCATGAGAGGAGCTGAACCAACAGCTGACTTTTTATATATTGCTTTGTTGTATATAGAAAGTTTCCACGATACAAAGAAAGTGCTGTTGAAAAGTAACGCAACACGCCCCCTTAATGTAGACTCTTGTTTAAACGAACCCCCCCATTTGGATTGTAAGACCTCTTCCTTTGAAGGTCTTATTAAAGTCTACATTAAAGCTCCAAGGTGGGTGAACGACCCAACTTCCACGGGCAGAAGTCCCAGCGGAGTCTCCACGGCGGCTCCACGGAGCCGCCAAGTTACCGCCCACAGGACGCACCAAAGGGAGCATTTCAAACCTCCAAATGTCTGAGAGAATCCCAATGAAATAGGACAACCATCGACTAAAGGCGGTGGTCAAAACTTACAAAACTCCGTTGGAATGTCTCCTGCTTGACAGTCCCAAACGCACTGTCAACGTGGCATGTTCGACCACCGGTGACCACCGTTGCCAAGGCACATGCAAAGGGCGGGATCGACCTGAGAGGCCCAGCACACCCGGCCCGAGTCGGGCGGATTGGGACCGCGGATTGGACTGTCGGGCGTACCCATGGGATCCCATGGGTGTTGAGAAACAAACACCCTCCTGCCACCCTCCAGATCAGTTTCTTCTTCATGTGGACTCTCGAGTGTTCCCAAATGTTCCCGAAGACCGACACTTAAAACCACTTCCTTCGAAAACCGCTTTTCCTTCTTGTGTTTATCTCGGTCTCTTATTTGATCTTATTTGTGTCGTGGCCATTGCTTGGGGCGAAACCCAGTTCTTACCAGCTCCACCACCTGGTAGAGGCCAATCATCAAACCCTTCGACATTGCAGTTGCTTTGATATAGCAGTGAAACACTGGACAAAAGCTAGCTAGCAGCTCGGCCTCACCGGCCTCACCCATTCCTGCTCATCTCTGCTCCCTCGGAAGACTGAACCGAACTTCATGCGCCGGTCACACGACCGCTCCGATGCCACCCAGGCACCAACTCGAAGAGTGGATCCTGCGATGCCAAGGCTTTGGAGACCAAGGCCTTTCCCGTGGACCTCGGCCATCACCGGTGCGAAGCAAAGTGACACGCCGGCGGCCGAGCGCTGTGACAGGGCCGTGACTGGCCGCTCCGGTTCGGGCAGTTCGGGAGTAGCGTTTTACACAGCGATCAAGAACGTCCTCGGCTGAAACTAGGGTGCAACAATATAGGAACTAAAATACTAAAACCACTCTGAGTCGACAGGAGCTGGGATAAACTCGACAGGAGATCGTACAAATGATTTTTTCACGAAGCTGAGATCAATCCCAAAAAACTCCATGGTCCATGTCTGTCATCTATGCCTGCCATGGACTATGCCTTGATCCCTTGTAAAAACCATCCCTGGCCTGATCGGTCAATATGGCAGTCCCAGACAGGTCATGTGGTCGTGTTTGGGGACGTCGCTATCGTCGACCGAACAGGTGAAGCGACAGGTGACGCGTCGCTTCGAAGCACTGCAAAGATCGAAGGAACTCGACTCTTTCGGTGAAAAGACACGAACTCTTCTTAGTTGAGTGGGGTGTGCCCAATTCCTCAAAAAGGTGACGTATGAATATACTGTAGTCACAGAAACAAATGATGTCATGTATCGATCGACATATGGTTATCCACATGTTATCCACATGTTCCTGGATCAAACAAATTCAAACAACTGCTCCACCCCATCGGAGGAAAAGAAAAACAACCAACACCCCAGGACCACGCCGGTGTGGTTGGCGTACACCCCGGCATTCCCCGGTGATCGGTCGAACGGCATGCATTCATGTGCGGACGAAAGGCATCATGTGCAGCAAGGACTCGTTCATGGTGCAAACGAGCTTGAAGAAACCATGAAGCTTCACACATCCTTGGGTGGTCCAGCGACGGGATTCTGTGCGGATTCTCCACTCAGATGCTGTGTTTGGATTCTGAAGGATGTCTCCGCCAACAAAAACAAGGGCCTTTGGCTGAGATCGGTGCATTCCAAGGTGGGGTAAGTGAGACAACTCAAACGTATCTAACAAAAATAAACACTCCCAGCAACCCCAAGCGCTAAGCAACGCTCTACTACACTCGCGGCATTACACGTTCAAGGTCTTTTCCCTCCAGGAGACCCCACTCCAAAATCACCCATCAAACAATAACAAGGACAACATCTTCGAGGGCACACCAAGTAAACATACCTGGGCTTTATCTTTACCAGCGGGTCCAGTTGCCACTATAGCTAGCCACCAGTCAGTTCCAAAGACTTAAGCCACAAATCTTGAAGTCCGTTCCTTACTGAGTGGATTGATCCGGTCTCCGGGATTCCCTGGGCCTTGGTTTTTCTCGTCGTCCCTTCCCTCTAAAGCGGTGCTGGGAGTGACCCGCCGTTGAGCTCGCTCTGTCGATCTGTTGAGCCTCCGGGAGCTCGCTCTGTCGATCGCGGTTGTCGCGTTACGTCCGTGGGCTCGCCCAGGTGCCGAAGTGGGTCACGAAGCGGAGCTCACTCTGCAGCTGCTTCGTCAAAAGACTGAGGATGGTGATGCGGTGCTCCTGGCGATGGCGAGGAAGAAGGGAGGATGGAAGCTCAAATGCAGGCGATGACTTGGTGATTTGAGGGGCCCAAACACTCTCAAGGTCAGTGCAGAGGAGGAAGGAGGGGAAGAAGAAAGGAGGAAGAGGAGGAAGAAGAAGAGGTCGGCGGAGGCGGAGGAGGAGAGGAGAGAGAGGAGCCCACTTCATAGCACAATGTCTGGACCTGGACAAGTAGGCATTATAAGATCATTTGGGTCTTCTCCTCTCTACACCTGCTTGTCCTCAGCTGTCTTCCACCCCGAGCCACATGTGGATTCTCTTCGCGTCGTGTTGTGGCGGTTGGGTGGGAACAACATGGGTATATTCCATTACCAGTAACAGTAGATGATCATGGTTAGTGAAGGCCTCTCTACAAATAGTGATCATTGTTTACCGACTGTTGCAGGTACAATGGGACACACATGGGCAAACCCAATCGAAAACATTGTCCAAGCCACTGGAATCGCTTCGCCCGAACGGCTGGTGGCATACTCGGTGTAGCGGAGCACCTGGAGAAGGCCAATGGCCAGGAGAATGGACGCGTTCCGCACGGCCAGGTGAATGAAACTGTTGTGGCGATGTTCCTTTCTTGTAGTTGGTGTGGAATTTCTGGATCAACGATTTTGAGGCAACCCTATATGTGAGACATCCAAAATCAAAAAGAAGGTCAAGTCCTCCTCCAAGGTTCACCCACGCTTGAAGTGGAGTGCCGGAGCCAAGCGCAAATGGACTAAGGCGTGCCAATCATGGGACTACAGTAGCTCATAGTAGCATCAAACATGCAAATATATGCAAATAAACAATAAACAGCAGCGTTTGGTAACTTGCTTTACCAACCAAGCTTACTTGGGCTGCCTTCGCACACTTTCTTGCGTGCCAACTAGCTAAGGCTGGCACCGCCCTCGTGTAGTTCACGCAGTTATTATATATATATATATAGCTATTTACATTATATATAAAAGGCTTTGCCCATCCACACTCTTTGTCCAACTCCACCCTGGCAGCCTTGAAGGTCAAGTCCTGCGGCACCTTCTTCTGCAGCAAGTATCCTCGGTCGGCCACGCTTGTCCAAACCGGCGGCCGAAACCGGTGAAACAGCATGTCCAATGCGAAGGCTTGCACTCGTTGGGCTCCAGAAAGGCATGGGCAGATAGATATTTTATGATATTTTCTGACTGGTGCGACTCGCAGGGAATGAGGGTGGCTGGATCCAATAGGATCTCTATTGGGGGCGAAACTTCCCTTATTCCCTACGAGTCGCACCAGTCAGTTTTCCAGTCTCGAGGTAGCACAGGTTGCACATATGAATGTTCCTGAATGTTCCTCTGGTCTAGATGCTGACACGTGGGTTGTTGAGAAAATGTTCACATCGAGTTTGAAGCTACTGAGGATTTCATGATGTATTGATCTCTTGCTGCCATCGGGCATTCCCAAACATCCAATCTTCCTCCCAAATCAGTCTGACCAGGAAACGGTGACCAGCCGCTGCCTTACCACCACGCTTGGGGTTTGGGAGGGTACCAAAGACCCCCTGTAAACAGGGGCGTCTATTAATAGCCCCGTAGCCTTAGAGGTTAAAGAGTGTCTATTAACCACCCCCCCTTGTGGGCTGTGGTTCAAAACAAAAGAACCTTGGTTGACCACCAAAAAATGAACAGAATAGACACTACAAAGGAGGTCAACCAGGGTTTGGGGCTTTAGGTTGTGACTCACAGCCATCTGCCATCTGCCATTCTCAGCTGCCAAGGTGCGCCTCAGCAACCAAAACTGCTTGGACTTGTCTTCCTGCGAGGCGAGGGTCCCGTGTGGTTTTGGAACGCAACAGGGCGCGTGCCAAAACTGCTCGTTTGGAGCCACATATTATGTTACAGTAGTAACTAGTACACTCCGACAAGATCCGACAAGCAGTTCAAGTTCAGCACAATCGAACTAACTACACTGATCTGCATCAACCCCCATCAAAACGCAACATGGTCGGACTCTCAACCCTTCCAATTGGGTCAACAAGGGGTCAACCGCCCCGTCCTGCATGTTCCGCAGCTGGGTCATAGAAGCAGTAATGGAACTCACGAAGGACCTGGGAGAAGCTGGAACTCTGGTGGATGGGGCCAATAATTCAAATCCATTCATCCTCCCTAATCCTCTTGAACCCCAAAGGTCTTCGATTCCAGAACCTAGCTGACCTTGCTTCTTCGTCACGTTTTGTCTTCTACAGCCCTCATTGTCTCGGTGGTCGCCTCATCCCTTCTTCAGCGCCAACGAGACGTGCCATCCGCCCGGCGGAAAAAAGCGCCGCTCCCGGCGGGACTTTGATGGATTTTGGGGCGCCCCACGAGAAGAGCACCAGTCCAAAGATGAGCACCTTGCAGCGGAAGAGAACATCACAACAAGGATGGAAGTGGAATGTAAGCCCATGTGTAAACCATGACGCACTGAATGACTTCGCGTTGATGTGTTGTATGTTCAAAACGTTCAAACCACACGAATGCGTTGGACCTATAGAAGGATCTTTTCCAACAAGCCCGGCCCGGCCCTGAAGTCCCACCCTCCGACGACGTTGCGCAGGGCGATTCAGGTGGTTTTTCTTCACTTGAAGTGAGGAGGGACATCCGTGCCAAAGCGAGGAGGGAACCATCTCAACCGTTTTGTTCCTGGGAAGTCACCATGGAATCTGAACTACCCCGGCTTGCTTCGTGGTGGATGACTTCCAGCTGGGGTCCTTCAGAACCGATGCCGACTCCTGTCCCGCCCACGTGGTCCACTTCGACCCCCGCCCGCCTCGAGCGCGTCGCTCGGCGAGCCGAACTCGGAAGCTCCGAGGCGCTAGGATGGCGAAGGTGCGTTCCACCATGTTCTGCGGGTGAACATCGACCTGAAAGCAGCTATCGGTGTTCTGCAGCCACACGGTGAAGGAAAGCGAGCTTAATCCCCTGTACCCATGGTAGTCCGATAGTTCCGGCCAGTCCACGAGATAGATTCCCCCTTGGCTGGTTGACCAACAAATCAGGTTCGTATTATGGGCGGAAGGCGAAAAAGGAACATCTTATATGGTTTTCCCCAAAGCTTTACGGCTTTTCCGGTCGTTCTTCCAAACCAATTCTGAGATCAGTTCCATCTCTAAGTGGTCCGAGGAACTGGGTCAGCCACACAGGCCACCGGACTGGGCACCGGGTGACTCGCACTGGTCGGCGGACAAACACACATAACACGAACGAAAAGAGTCCAGTCGTTCGATGTGTTGCTTCTTGACCGACCACCGTTGGCACTCAAAATGGCTGAATTGGGACAATGATTGAAACGCATATCCTTGCTTCTTGGTGTTCTGGATTCTTCTGTTGTGTGGGAACGCACGCGCGCGCCCACACACACAGACGTACACGTACACATGGAACCTACAACTCACAAACGTGCCTATTGGCACAGGAGGGTGCAAACTTGGGGCAAGTGCCCACTCAAGAGCAAACACAAAACCACGATTCGTTCATACCACTTGCATCCTGTCTCCCGATTGCTTGACTCAAGGGGGGTTGCCTCAAAAAAGGGTAGACGCCTTGAACAAAGAAGTTACTTGATCTCTATTGGGAGCTGGTGAGCCAGGATGAGCCAGGGTTTACCCGGAGCTGTGCCCACCATTCAAATCGCTCTCCTGACCTGTGACTCTCCGGACTCTCTCTTTCTCTTTCTCTTTCTCGTTCTTTCTTTCTCTCTGTCTCTCTCTCTCTCTCTTTTCTCGCTTCCGAGCCGGTTTTTTTCGCTCCTGTGCGCTGGGGCAAACTACAAGAAAAGCGCGTAGCACGCAGGTCTCACACACATCTGTTCGGCAGAATCGGGACACTTACTTTGAATTGCAGTAACCCCACACTTATAAAGAGTTTGGCCCACACTTAGAGCCTTCCACCCTTGCTTCGGCAAACTCACAGTTAGAAACCATAGTTCAGCAAAAAACAACAGAAAAACAATAAGAAGCAGGTTCACACACCAGCTTGCAACTGTTTGGCTCAAATCAAATCCATAAGCTTTGAAGAATCACATTGACACAAGCAATGTTTGTTCTTCGTTATATACAATTGTCTTAGATTATCTTAGTAAAATATTGTGCGATGCCTTTTTCCTTTTCCAGTTCTTTTAGTTTCCTTTAGCCGTGATTGCTCTCTTCACTCAGAATCATGCATGTACTGTACACGTGCCTTTGCCTGAATAGTGCTGGACATATGCAAACATAGAACATTATCGAACACACCTTGCATCAGGGTTCCAAGTCCCTGTAGCGCAGTTCTACAGATCTACTACCTATGCATCTTGGGGCAAATGGAACAGCGGATTTCTTGTTCTGATATGTTCTAATATGTTCCTTCTAATTACAGTAAGTAGTTGTCCGTCAGGATAATGCACATCCGGAACTGCCGCAGGCAGTCCAAACACAGCACTTTGCTGGGCCACAAGGCCACAGCCCCCTGGGGCTTCCAGCATCGACCTGAAATAGATCTACGGGGTGGGTCTCTGGGCATTTGGTTTCCATGTGTTGCCGCTGCTGAGGCCCAAAGGGCTTCAAATGCCTCCGCAGCAGTGCTGCGATTGGCTACTAGGCTACACTTTTCAGTCCGAAACGCTATCCGCGAAAAAAGGCCATGAGTCAAGTTCAGCTCCATCATCAGCAAGTCCTTGGCAGACCATTTCTGCTTGATGAGCATCTCAGTGCCTTGTAAAATATGGATCACCTGGATCCGGCTCTCGGAATCCTTCGCCTGCTGAGCTAGATCCAAAGCGCTGCGACCTCACGATCAGGGATGAAAAAAACATGACTGGAATGAGGGCCTGCAGAATTTTTGTAGTCCATTGCCCATTCTCACAATACCAGATCCTTCTTGCGATTGCATGGTCCTCCATTTCTCAACCTGCCTTGGGAGGTGTTCTTCTCTTTGTCCGCACCCGCCCGCAAAAGCACTTTCACCATCTGAGGCTTGCCCAACTTGGCTGCCACATGGATGGGGTAGAGGGCTAAGAATCTGACCCCAAAAAGGTTTCTCGCTGCCACGCGTCTGTGTCGGGACAGAAATCTCTTCAATTCCACCTGCTCGGCTTTCTTCTCTTGGCATCTCTTGAGGGCTCCCAGTGTCATGCTGAGCTCGCCATCCTCATCGTCCTCCTCCAGTTCGCCACAATTGACGGGCTGAAGTGCATCCAATGAGTCGGGCACGTCGGGCGCGTGGAGTTGGGGGGGGTTGAACTGCGCGGATGTCTTGTAGTCCGAAGCAAGGCGGGGTCATGGGCCTGGCTGGAAAATGGCCTCCTGAAGAATCTCCGTCGCAGCAAAACGCAGGCTTGAACAAATGGCCCGCTTGAGCCCCAAGTCCAAACATACCTGGTACTGAAGGAATCACCCTGAAACTGGTTGAGAACTGTGTGTGCTTGTGTGGTGTGGGTTGCAGTTCAAAGTTCATGGGGCTCAATTTGGGGAAGCATTCTGGTTTTCCCCAGCCCGAGACACTACGTGAAGTCTGGTCTTCCTGGGTTGCTTGCCGATCTAAGCATTTAGAAGGAAAGGCGTAGGCGTCGCGTGTTGGCTCTGAGGGGACTCATGCTTGTTTCAGGCCATGCCATCGTGCGTATATGTCAACTATAATATATAGAATAGACCCATAAAGAAATGAAAAATTAATAATAATTAATTTACTGTAATATCAATCTATATATACCTTGAAAACCCAACCTTGCCTTTTGTTTGGTCATCGGCTGATTTGGAAGCGAAAAACGTATTCTTTCAAGCAAAAGTGCAATCGGGAGTGAACAGTGTTATCGTGTCTTCCAGGCCCATTTCAGTGGACAGATCCACTTCAAATTGACCCTTCAAACCTGACAAACTTGGGCCATATTTTTGTCCGGGTATTTCCGCTCTTGTTTTTTTGTGCTTCTTTTGAGCCCGGTGGCTGGGAACCCTTTGGATCCGGTTTCTCATGTAACATGTCTGGAATGTTGTGAAATACCACAAAGTGTATGTTGGGATCTGTGAAGTTGAGAAAGTGTCATTATGTCACTAAACATTGTGTTTTTCCAAAAGGACTAAAACAATGCACACTTATGGTTTACTAGGTAGTATTGTTGTTAATTTGATTTACAGTATTTAGAACTTAGAACTAGACCATATATTATCTACTCCATATCTGGAGTCTGAAGTAAGGGCATTGGCTTGTGAAAAGCTCTCTCAGCTGCACCGGACAGCCCTCAGCACTTGCCCCGTCAGCCGGCCACCGGACGGCACCCCATCCGGGACATCATCTCCATCCAAGAAGCTGTGGCGGGAGTGAACTGGGTCAAGCTCCAGTGCAAGGCAGTGGCGTAGCGATAGCTCAAGGGTTGTGTGCCAGGCTGCATCCCATAGGCCTAAGGTGAGATTGTTTCTCTTCCAAGGGCATGCAACAATGAGTCCACTCCCTGAAAAATCATCAGAAGTGGAGTGAGTGAAAACCACCTGATTTGGGTCTGAGAACTTTTTCATGGTCATCCGTTTTCAAAGGCCCATGCCATGCCACCTTGGCTGATTTCAGGGAGGGGCCTCTTGACACCGCCAGCAGCCCGCTGCTGGGCGGTGTCAAGCACCGGGCCCCTATGGTCGACCACAATGATCCAGGTGTTTCAAACGCTGTTGTGCCCAACGTGGGTCCACCATCATCGTGAAACAAGAAAATGCGGAGCAGCAAGCTAAGCACGCGGTTTCGGTGAACAACTGTGAAGCGGAGCCGAGCCTGGGGGGCCTGGAGCCGAGCCTGGAGCCTTGTGACCTTTTACGAGTTGTTTCTATTCACGTTCGAACTCGTCTTGCAGTCACCGATGCTCAGCTGAACCCACCATGGGTACCCATGATCCCAAAGACTCGGATTTCGGATTGACCCACTCGGAGGCTTCTTTCAAGCGTAAATATGATCGGCCCGTGCAGGTCATGCAGTGGGCCGAAGAAGGAGGTCATTTGGAGTGGCTGGTGGAGACGGAAAAAAGAGATTTGGAGGGGTTCACCATCCGGAAAAAACGGAAATATGATACATGATAGATAAAAACAACAAGTAAACTAATAACGGGGGCATCCAAGCTTCTTGGGAACTGCGATCCTGGCTTGTGTTGCTTCACTTTGCGTGTGTGGGTGCGCGAGTTACTGTTTATGTTGCCTTGGAATTTGCCTCCACCCCTCGCAGGGCAGGTTGAGGCATTCTGATTCACATGAACATTGCATCCGGGGGGGGTTCTGTGGAGACGTACTTCCTGCATGACATTCAGCAAGGAATACTGACTCCAGAGCCAGAGGTCACTGGAAAATAGAACGCCAACCTTTTCCATCTGTTCCAATTACCTTCAGTGCAGTGTCCTCCCACAAAAATTCTTTTGCAGGTTATCCATGGTAATTATAGGTTATCCTATCTGTTCCATACTTTTCCGGTCCATCCACTTCTTCATCACATCCACCGAACGACCCTGCAGGGGCCAGTCCCGCAGTCGTCGGCACTGGTCCTCCGCACCTTCCTCCGCGTTCAGTCCTCGCCCAGACACATCCCTCCAGTTGGGGGTGCCTGCATTGGCCAAGCCTCCCATCAAATACCTGGCCGGCCGAGTCTCTGGTTGACGAGGGGGGTTTCGGGCGACAACGGCGGTTTCGGGAAAAACCAGGATCAGCCAGGATCGTAGTGGATCACCTGATCCAAATATGATCTGAACTGGGCTGTCTGGAATCCATTCAAATTTAGGGTCGTATAGGAGGTGTGTGGCTTGTTGATGATGTGCTCTTCGAGAGGTTCTGCATCCCTCATACCGCATCATACCGCGTGATTTGGGTTTGGGGTAAATAACGCTCCACAGGTTCTAGTCGTTCTTCCTTGGCCATTGGGCGTTGGGCTCCAAAATTCTTTGACAGCCATCTGTTTGGATATGTCTGGAACATGCAAATGCGTTCAAGGATTCTATGGTCCGTGCTCTTTGACTCCCGACCCGTTTCCTTGGACAATTCAAGGTTCACCGAATAAACTCCACTTCTTCTTGTTGAGTGGGGCGTCACCAATCCCCCAGACAGATTCTACAATCTCTACAAAGACTATCCAGGCACTTCGCTTGACGGTCGCGCACCATGCTCGCTTGGTCAGCTCAGCTGGAATGCAGGGGTGTCAGCTCAGCTGGGACTTGTCTGAATGGCACTCCAGAAGATCATGGAAAATCCCATACTTCCCCAAGCTTGGCAGCACCGGAGTTTCACTTCATCTACATCGGCATGATGGTGCTTTTCCCACCGCCCCCCCACGTGGTCAGGACACCACAGGGACGCCACAAAGTGATTCACCAGCAAAAGCCTGAAGGCGCCGACCGGACACCGTGGTCCCCGCTATCGGACCCCGTTTGGGGGGGATGGAGCTCGAACAACTGGGCTGACGACTCGGAGTGCTGACGTGAGTGGGAGCCAGAGAGTGACTTGGGCCCCATCAAAGCTGTATACAGCTAGCGTCCGTCCAGATTTGATGCTTTGGGGTGGACCAGCGGTGGAGCGATGTTCATGACATTGCAATCTTGCTGGTCCAAGTCTCAACTCTCCGATGCAATCTGAAAGGCTCCCACAAGTGGAAGGCTCGCCAAGCAAAGCCAAGAGCCAAGCAAACACTTGAATCGCACTCCAAGCGGCAAGATGATGAGCTTCAGGATGTTCAGAAGAATGAACACGACCTGCAGCGGTCACACCAACGAGACGAAAACGGACGGTAAGAAGGGTCGTCCTGGCCCCTCCGTTGACCGTTGAGAGCGGCAAAATACACAAACAAGCAGGAACTCACATATATCACGATACACTCATGTAGAAGATGAAACAAAAATGCTACACAAAAAATATCTTCTCACCATTGTCTTCTCAATGAATGTGTGTTCCATCATTTCTTCCTGAATTGACCACATGTCTGGTAATTAGCCATGAAAGGCAGATGCAAGGAACCTGCCCTCGCCTCAGATGTGATACGGTCTTTGAGCATGTCGATGACTCGCTTCAACTTCACCTGAGGCAGCGTCACGACCGGCACAGCTGGATGTGTATTTAGGGGGATCTCCCAACCTGGCTAGATTTTTGGTCTGCTTGTTTGATTCTCCCAGAGGTCCGTGAAGGATATAAGGCACGCCCTTCCAGGATTGGCCAACACCCCCATACAAAAGCAGCCATTTTTTGCAGTGAGGATCATCCCGATTCTCCTGTGGGAAGTAGTCCGAAATTCTCGGTCCAAGAGCATCCCAGTGGGCTGGATGTTTGGGAGGCACTCCCCAGTCCCTAGGGATCCAAGTACCTTCTCAGAAGGTGATTGGAGGCACTGTTATGTAGGTTTGGAGGGTCCAAGTACCTTCTGAGAAGGTACTTGGATCCCTAGGGAGTGGTTCAAGACTCAAATTCGATCATCTTCGCATTTTGGTACTTGGATGTTTCCTTCGTCCTTTTGAGGCCGAAATCGGAGCCGTGGACTCCCAACTCTCCCAGATGCCCCAGATGCCCATGGGGTCGGTTCACATCGCCCTCTGCCATAGAGATTCCTCTCCTCCTTTTCTTAGTATTGCTCTTTGGAATTTTAGAATTTTTTTTTGCTTTTTCAATTGGGGTTGAAGTTTGTCTGTTTGAAGGTTTTGCTACCACCTCAAAAGTTATTTAGACTTCTCGATTTGTAGGGTCGCGTCTGACTGTGTAAATCATGACTAGGTTCAGCTCTAGCTAGGACAGTCCCTTCTTAGCAGTTAAACTTGTAGTCATGTCAACCTTAACTTTTCACCTTCATTGACGCTCCTAGAATATTGTCTCGATTTTTCAATACTGTTTTCTCGAGGAAGGGAAGAAAAGATATTTGGGCCTTGGACAATTTTATTTCCAAATCTTGACGCCGCCATGTGGCTCTAAATGGGTTTGCCTTCCCAAGTGGGGGTTGCTGAGTACTTTGGCTGCTTCGGTGAGGTGCTTTTCTGCAGAGGTCATTGGCTGCTTCGGCCAAATCCTTTGCCATGAGCAATGTGGAGGCGAAGGCCACATTGAAATTGGCGCGGTTGGGCAGGAGTTTCTGCTGAACCCTGAAGATTCTCAAGCTGGCTGCTGCAAATGGCCCAAAGCTGGCCCTTTCTATGGCAATGGCTCCCCCTGGTCCTGATCCAGAAATGTTGAAGTCCTTTTGTCGCTTTACTGCAGATACCCGCCGTTTGCTGATCCTCCACTTTGGGGAGGACGATGCCCTGGACGAAGCTGAGTGCTTGAGGAACGCGCTACTGTGGGCATGGCAGCATTTACCTGATTCAGCAACAGCCCTGCTAGACGGAAGTTTGGTTTATGTGCTGGATGTTTGCACCACAATCAAATATACTTGTCCGCATCAATACCCTACGCTTCGCGTCGTCACAGGCCTGCCTCCGCGTGGGCCGAGCTATTTGAGAGACCCGTTGACTCAATTCACTAAGAATGATTTCAAGGCAGCTTTGGCGTGTGTCCGAGTGCTTGAAGACATGCCAGGTTCTTTTTTGACACTGTCTTGGAGTGGAGTGAGCAAATGGTTCCCTAACTTTGCTCTTGAAGTCCTTGCCGAGGACGCGCAGTAAGCCAAGGCTGACTGGGAGCTTCGGCCAGCTGCCAAGGACAGACCAGGAGCCTGTCATTGGCTGCTTCGGCTGAGACAGGAAGTTTGGGAAAGGGAAAAAATGGCGCGCCAGGCTTGTAAGGAGAGGTCTTTTAGCCTGCTCCAACCGAGCCTCGGGAACGTTCTTGAACCTCCTAAGGAGCAGGAAAAAAGCAGACTGCTAGAAAAAATTCCATTCATGTTTTCTAATTCTAGGACAGTCTGCTTTTATCCTGCTCCAACCGAGCCTCGGGAACGTTCTTGAAGCTTGTAAGGAGTAGTCTGTTAGTCACCTCTGTAGGAGGCTCAGATACACGATTCTCGTCCGACGCAGCTTTTTGCTCAAGGAAAGATAAAATAAGTGGGCCTCTGGCTGATTCGGCCAGGGCCCACAGAATGTCGTCCTCTAAGTGCAAGAAGGACAATTTTTCAGGCTGGGGGCATATTGCGGTTGGTGAGCAAGTGACTGCTGCAGCCAAAGCCGAACCCAAATCCAAGGCCAAGGGTCAACCAAATAAGCCAAAGCCGAAACCGAAGCCAGAAAAGCCACCTAAGAAGCCTGAGCCTAGGGCCAAGCCGAAGCCTGCAGTAGGCGGCGATGATGAGCCACCCACAAAAAACAAACAAAAAAGACAGAAGCAACCGAAGCCTCAGCTGGGGAGGTCGATGATGACGACCAGGAAGTGGAGATGGAAGAGGGTGAGGAAAACGACGAGGTTTGGAACCCGCTGGCGTGATCTTTGGCTGCGTCGGCCAAGATACATGCACTCTGGCATGGGCGCAAAGCTTTTTGTTGCATCTCTGGCTGCATCGGCCAGGATGCATGCAGTGAGCTCGCGCAGAATGAAAAAGAGCGCGATCAAGACTTCTTCAATTTTGGGTGTCTGGCTTTCTTTACATTGGTGCATTGAATGCTTTAAATGTTTCAGGCTTCCGGAAAAAGACCTGTAAAAACATTACAGTTTTAACTTCTAAGTTTTCTAACTAACGGGAAGCTTGGGAGTCTGGCTTGCACTGCGCACCATATTTTCTCTTGAATTGAATTGAAGATTGCTCCAGCCAGCGGTTCCAAACCAAGCATGGGAACCTCCAACCAGGCTGATTATTGCAGCCTTCCTGTTCTACACAAACTTTGGAAAACGTGTTCTCGAGTGGGGGTTGCCTGTTTGTCGAGCGGGTGCTGCAAAATTATTCTTTGGACACAGGAAATTAACTTTCCCCTGTTGCCCTTCAATTGTCACATTCTCACAAAGTCCCGTCAAATGCCTTGAAGTTGGCTGGCGTTGTATGCCTCGCTTTGCACAATGACTTTGCCACAGCTGTTTTCTTAGACCCTTGAGTAGGAAGCTTATAAGTTATTTTGAATTCTCGATTTTGCACCTAGAATGGTATCACTCAAGGAAGATGGCACCAACCCTTCCACAGAGCAAAAAAAAAATCCAAAATTCCAAAGAGCAATACTAAGTTTTCAGATGTCCAGAGATGTCCACCAGGACCTCCCCCCCCCCCCTGCCATGCCCCCCCCCCATCCTACGACCGAGGGGCGAGGCGGAGGAGCCGCACGGTTCGGACCTGCCGAAGGAAAGCGCGCGGAGCGGTGCGGTGGAGCTGGGAGAGGTGGAGGCCACGGAGGATGCGCTCCCGGAGAGAGTTTGGTTTCCTGAAAAAGGCCAAACTCACCGACACCAAGAGTGGCGTGAGTAGTGGCGTGTCCTGTGTTTTGAGGGGTTGGTGGACGGAATTCGAGCAGGGGAACCAGCCCAAACAGAACAACTATATAGAGCTGTCAATGCCTTTTGAACATTGTGAGTTGGTTTCACTGTCGAACAATCTGCCACAACCCACTGCTTCCAAATTCAGAATATGAGCTGCTTTTGGTTAAGCGGAGTTGTGATGAGTTGAACCACAGGTTCCAGCACATTTTTCTGGTCGTCGAACTTATGAGGTATGAGTTGGGTCTTCTTAGATTTAATCTCTTAAAGCCAGCCCGACATGCCCTTTCTGGGTGGAGACTCTTCTAATAGTAATAATATTGATACCTGTCACCTTGTTTGGTATTGAACTCGTTTTGATTTTCTGAGACGGATTCCCGCGTTTGTGGGTCATCAGTGCTTCACTTGTGTGCATTCCTTCGGTAATATCGCACACCTGTACAAGTACAAGTTATACTATATCAAATGCACTCATTGCTTGCTTCTGGCGTCTCATACGAAGACCGACCTCTAAGTCTTGGTGTGGATATCTCTAGATGTCTGAAGTGCCAGTGACCAGTATCTTGTTCATCTCCTTCGTGGCAAAACATGTCGAATGCACAAAAACACATATCATTCAAACATCATTCAAACATGCATCCCAGTTACACTTGAGGTGGTGAAGTAGCAACTCGACAGGCCTTTGGCATCCTTTGGCCCTGGCCTTCAGGGTCACATCTTCACGGCAACGTGTGCACAGGGCTTCAATGAACCATCTCCCCTCAATGCCTGAACCGGTCCATTGCTTCTGACATTCCCCGCCAGCCGCTGGCACCGCTGGCACCCCTGTTTTTGCACCTGTTCTATCTTGAGTGGGCCGTCTCCAATCATTTCCAAAAATGCTGACCTGCCGGTGAACCCACGGAAGAACAATCCCCGTCACTTATCACTTCCCAACAAGAACCTGTGTCACAACCTGAGTCACTGCAGAACTCTCAGTGCCACCAGGGCTTCTTCCCGAAACCCTGGGCTTCTTCCATTCATCCGGAACGATGTGCGACGTGCCCAGCCGTGGCTTTCCCATGGGCTTTTACCGAAAACCACTGCACCCACGGGGCGCGTCCCGCGTCGTCTGGGCGCCCCGGGCCACGCGAATGGTCCGCACCAAGCGGCCCACGCTGCCGGCGCTGCCTGCGGTTCGGGGGTCTGGCGTCGAAGACTCGTGGTCCCCAAATAGAGAGGATGGGCACGGTTTCCAGGCAAATGTTGAAAGGGAGACTGTTGCCAGGAGGTCTATGTATAGGGTTTAGGGCCCCAAGCTTTCCAATTATCTATGCCAGGGGGTCTCAATATAATCCTGTCTATGAAGCACCTCAAAAAGAAGTACGGACACCGATTTGATCACCGCGTACTTTAATTATAGCGTAACACCACAGGAAGCTCCCAGATGATAGTTGGCCGATGATGAGTCAACACTGACATCACTAGCTTTCCTAGTCTCCGCTTTGTACTTTGCAGCACCAGCAGTGCACGCGAAACGGGCTGCGCCTCCTTCATCTCCATGTGCTGAGAGTTGGATGAAGGTGATCACCCTCAGCAGCCGGCGCCCCGTCACCAAGAATGGCCGTACGCCGTCTGAAAGGTTCTGAAAGTACTTATGGAAATAGCAAAAAAAAGCCAACACCGGGCTTGGTACTCGGAACATGGTCATCCCAAAACCCATGCCTTCCACGCAACCAAGATTGTTTTCGAGGGTAATGATGGGGGTGGGTCGACCTGGTGTCCGGAGGACCTGGTAGAGTGGCAGTCCCAAACAGGTACATCGGAAGGGGGGTGGTGCTGCGAAAACGGTGGACCTGGGGCAGTTCGGGACCTGGAAAGTGAAGAGATGCAAAAACCATCTAGAAATATGTGGACATCCCATAGTTGCAATGTCCATCAGGCTTGCCACCTTGCTGTGACCCTGAGTGCTGAGTACATCCTTTGCAGCTCCCCCAATGAAACTCATTGGCTTGGAAGAAGAAAATAACTTTCTGTATCTTTCTGTATATAATGATACATGTGCGGCTTCGATCTTGACCTTGATGGACCATAGTTGATCAATCCCGTTCATCATCAACTCAACCTAGGAACTCGAGCCCTTCTCCAAAAGGGTCAGGGTCTGGACCCTCATGGAGAGCCCATCCATGGAGGCTCCAAGGGTTCTTAGGGGAAAAGAAACACTCTGGCTCACATTCCATGGAAGTGGAACCCCCCCTGTTGGTACAGGAAAGTCGTCTTCCAAGCCATGCCATCTACTTTCAAGCAAACATTGTTCCGAACAAACTCATGTCCCCAATCACTGCTGGCTGAGGAGCCAATCGGGCCCGACGACGACCAAATCGAGCCTTGGTTTTTGATGTGACGGTGCAAAACGTCTCTGATGCATGCAAAAAAACTCGCAGGTTACAGTAAAACCTTGACATGTTCTTGGCTACGCATTAAAAAACAAATAAACACACACACAATATATAATCATTAATCAACACATGTCTAGATTGAACCTGGTTTCACCAATCCGCAGATTTCAGAGCGATGCGCAGAAAAAGGGACACCACTTGGGCGGCGCACAGCGCGGAAGTGACCAGTTCTTCCCTGAAAAGCTCTATATGACTCTGTGACTGACTCTGTGTGACTCTTTATGAGGTATGACTCTGTATACAAGTTTTTAAAAGGGATTGGACGCTTGGTGGCACACCAGCACTCTACCCAAGACCCTCCGACCAGTTCAATGAATTTCTTTGGCCTTCTGCCTCCGAGCAGAATAAGAACACCCAGCATGACCCAGCGAAGGCCGAGCGGTCGACAGTGGTTCGATTGGACATGAAATGATATGAAAACACCCTGAAAATCCTGTTGGTATATAACCAGGAATGCTGGGAGATGCCAGAGGTGGCAAGAAGGATTCTCCAACAAGTTCCGTGGTGGGAACTGGATGAATTGATGAACACTTCACATTGAGGCATCCAGAAAGCACATCGTTTGCATCCCCAGTCCACCCATCCGTTTGAACCCTCAGTTCAGTTCGGCCGAGTTGCAAAAACCATGTCTTCCTGCAGCAAACCACGGCCAGTTTTCGGGGAAAAACGGTGAGGACATGCGCGGAGATGTGCGGTGCGGGTGCGGGGTGCCGTTCGGGTTCGTGTTCGGATGGGTGCTGTGTCGGTTCTTCAGTTGACGGTTCTTGGGTTGTGCATGCTATGCTTCTCGAAGTGAGTGGAACATAGTGTTCCCCCAGTCAATGAGCCCCTCGAAAATTCTCGTGGGCTTGTCGAGACCGGAACTGGAATCTGGGCCAAGGTTCATGGTTCTGTTTGTGAGCGCAAGTTGGTGCAGGATATTTGGGGGTGAAATGAGATCAACACAACGGATGAATTACAACTGGCCACTACAAGACCACATCAGGGCAATCATTGCATGTCAAAGCGCAACTGCTACACACACCAAAATGCACATGGCATGCCATTTGTGTGAATTTCATGCTTGAAAGGTATGGGTACTCTTGGCCAATCAAAGAAGACATGAACTGAAACATATGATAATGACTCAATGACCATGGACCATGTTTTTGTCCACTAGCTCGGCCATATTTTCGCCTGGCACGCCTGGGAGGAGACATGGGTCCCACCATCTGGTCCAGGTCTGGTCCCGAGGAACGACAACGGCCGCGTGGCCAAGCGAGAAGATCGGCCAAGAAGCAGGTAGTTGATGAAGATCTGATAGGGCGACATCACCTGCAAAGTTGGGTCGATTTCTGCGCTTCGGCCTCCCAAAAACGGATCCGGACTGAAGCTTGGGGATTCTGACTCTGAAGCTTGAGTCTGAAAATACCAGTGGCGATGGAGGGTGAGTGTTAAACTGCGCTGCGATCTTGAGTGATTGGAGCTGTGTCCAAAAAACATAAAACAACGACTGTGAAGAGCTAAGCATGGCCAGTCCAACATACCACCGGTACTTGCTGCATCCCAGTGACCAGTTGCCCTTTGTTCACGTAGCCCGTGAGCAGCGACCTGTAGAGTGCGTCCAAAGATCCAAGGGCCTTTGGCATCTAGATCTGTTCACGACCTGGATTTGCTTAAAGGACATATTCCAGAAGGGGATTGAAGCCTAGCAACAATGGACATCATCCTAAGCAATCACCAGGACTGACTCAAATTGGCATCACCCGGATCTTGCACTTATCCCCCATCATCAAGCCCTTCTAGCCATTTCACATCAAGCATCAAGAAGCCCCTGTCAGGTCGGACGAATAGGTCCCTGGTGACTTGTCCGAGGATATCTTCGACCCTCAGAGGCTACGCCGTACGCCACTCCCTCCTACCCCATCAACCAAACCATATGAAACATGATAAAAACTATTACATCATACCTCCCAAAACTCTCCTACCACCATTGAGGCTTTCTTCCCCCACGCCTCTGCCCTCTTTCCATGCATTTCTTTTCGGAACATGGGGCAGTCCGACAGACTCATCTCAGGACCTTGTCCTTTCGGAAGCACCCGGGGATCCGTCGCCGCACGGCGTCCGAAAACAGACTCTGGACGGCCCGCCCTTCGCCAGGGGTGAAACGGGGACGACGCGGGCGACGGGGACGAAGGCGGTCCGCACATGATGATATCAAAGGTCCAGAAGATCTGCGTCAACCATCCCATGAAGTCGCTGAACCTCGAGAGTTCAGGTCGCGGACCGCATGCGCGGTCGCGGACGTGTCACATGCGACGGTGCTTGGTGCTTCTGGTTTTGAAAGGCGTAGATCCTATAGATGATCTATATAATGATGATCTGATGCTGACTCGACTCGCCAGGAGGCTGGAATCCAGCTCTTCGTGTTGAGTGGGACAGCCCTCCTCCCCAATAAAGAGGCCTCTAGTTATCGGTTTAAAGAGCATCAGGAGTGTTTTCCAGCTCTTTTGGCATCAGGTGTTTTCAAGGACCTTAGAGGACGCTACATCCACTGACGGCCGGTCGGCCACTGGCCGGGCGGTGGCCAACCGAGGTCTGGGTGGCACCAATAGGCCTGTGAGCCCCAGTTCTTCAGCTACAATCGCCAGATCTCATGCCTGGTAAGTAGGACCTAGGATGTAAAGAGGTTGAGACTTAGACCAACTGCATGTACCCCTTATAACCTGCTGCATCTGGTTGCTTTCGCCATCCACCGGATCTTCAAACAGTGGTGCTCCTGTCCTCCAAATCCGCCCATCTCGTCCGAAACTCTCCATCTCCCCATCTCGGCAGCGACAACCTGGACCCCAAACCCCCAACTCTCCATAGATCCGAGAGATGCTCACACCATCATACACTGAAAACGAACACCCTCATACTCCATGCTTTTCGCGCTGTGTGCATTTCTGCATGATGCGCGTTTTCTTCTCCAGTACTTGGCATGCACGAACTATACTCCAACTACATCCAATGCGAGGGACACCGTGTCATCCGGCTCGAAGGCGGAGATGGGGATGGCAATCATGTCCTCGGTTCGCCGGTGTCGGTCGGCTGATGCGTCAAATCAGCACTGCGTTGTCTGGATGCCGAAGGGTTTTGGTCTGACGGAACAGGTTCTTGTCCCTGATTCAAAGCATTCTCTGATTCCAGCCGGATCCTACAGTTGTGAGGCACGGTTTTCTGCGCAGCGCGGACCCGGCCAAGCGGCATAGACTAGGAGCACCTTGGTGGCAACGTGCCGTGCCCAGGAAGGAACGACCAAAACAAAGGATGCACACCCAGGCTTGTGGGAAATGGCCCGCCCTCAAACAAAAAGGTCCAAACAAATCTTTGGTGACTAGCTTCCTAGGTGACATCTTTTGCTTATTCACGTCAAAAACTGCTATACTGCCAATGCATTGTGATTGCCATATTGATGCTAACTGAAGGGTCAGGGTCAAACTTGGTCAAACCAACTGGAACCAAACGGATGCTGCTGTTTTTCCGTGATTCTGGAGCCGGGACGACGGAACATCTCACTCACCTGGGGATTGAACCGGCTACAAAACTGAAAGCAAACTGGTAAGTAGAGAAACAAATGTCTTCCAGTTGTTCATGTTCAGTCTCTATTATCTCTAACTTCCCAAGGTATACCTTGGTGTAAATAGCATTTTTCATGTCAGGCCACTCCAAAAAACAGCGGACCAGGTGTCCGGCAATGTCCGGCACTTTCTTTCCCAAGCTTCTCACTGGCGTTTTCCAACGCCCGTCCAACGCGCCGCGCAGTCGGCCCCCTGCTGATGACACCCCCTCAGCACTTCCTGTGTCGCCTGTAACCTAGTAGATCTTAGATCCGGGTCTTGCCGGATCTCTCAGGGGGCTGGTCCTTCAGCATGACCATGCCACCCCACATCTTAGCTGGAAATCTCTTCGGACGCCCAAAGTCTCTCCACCCCACACGGACGCCAAGCTTGAGTCGAGTGTCCATGCCTGTCAAGTCCCAGGCCATACCTGCAGGGACACAGGGAGAGTCATGTGTTGTTCGAGCGGCTGGACCTCACAGAAAAAAGGTCATATGGACCGTCGAAGAAAACAATGGTCTGACACTCCATGTGTGCCATATATGCCTATATACAATTGGGGTGGTGCCAGGGGGTCAACTGATCGGCATATATGGCAGTCCCATTAGTCGTGTCTGGGAATGGTCTGACCGACGTGTTGACGTGTTGACCGTCCTCTTTGATTGAGAAAAGGCTGCATGTTTCCCCAATCAAACTATATGGATATGATATATATCTAACTAGTATTGAGATGTATTGAGAACAATTATGCAACTGCCACCATGAGCTAAGACTGAGTAACTAATCCAAGATAATGCAAGTAGGCTACATGAATGAGTAAGTGACACAGCCGGGGTGTTTTCTTGGCGATGTCCTCCTGCTTTGGACCTTTCTTCGTGGATTTCTATCTACAGTATAGATCTCTATACGGGCAAGACATGGGCAAACCACACCCAAAGAGGAGTCTTGGCCAGGCAGCCGCCTCCACGTTGATACGTCTTCCTTCACCCTTCCGAAGCGGGACGATCGTACGTACGCCGAGGTGCGCTTGGGGTCCGAGGGCAACAGGATGAAGCGCTGGCATCCTTGCCTCCTTGGAGCCAAACGGGACTTGGATTGTGCCGGCACCTCATGCACATCCAAAGACCACTCTGAACTGGAGGGTCTTGACCCGCATTCCATAGGGTAGCAGGGGTTTGGACCCTGACTCCTTGAGGGTCATCTTGATTCTTAGGGTGGCACCTGGCCAGGTTCCCTCGCACCCGAGGGCTCGTGACAGGATGTTGCAAAATCAGCACATGCAGGATGTGTGCAGGATGCGAGCTTTTGTGCCCTAGCATCAACCCTTGTGCCAAGGTTTACTCCTATGATGTGATCTTCGCCAAGTACTGAATATCACCATGAACATCGATGAGCTGTATTTGGCTACTTAAAGCTCTGTGCGCCCATGGATTGATGATGATTGATTAATGCAATACAGCTGTCATCATTTGACCCGCACCCCTGCCGAGCATCGCTAAAGTGTGCTTGTCGTCGCCTGAGTTCGGAAAAAAGGGGCGGGAAATGCCGGGAATGTTTCCAACTGTTCAAGTGCCACATAGGATGGCTTGTGCGAGCCGAAGAAGCCCACATGAATGTTCACACACCGGACATTCCTCTGATGAAAGCCCCAGACAGGCAGTCACCCTATACCTTCAACGGGAAAACCAAAGGGTTAAACTATATGTTAAACTCCTTCGGCCTTTCTCCTTTCTCCTGTCTCAGGCGCCTTGAATCGCCCCCATGAAATCCCCCAGGTGCCGGCCTATCACAACAAACACATGTCTCTTTTTGGGACAACAATTCGACATCCTGATGATTCCTGGTGCATCAAACCACGTCCGAGGTGTGAAGGAAAGCGAGTAGACATGGAGGCCCCCCCTTGTCTTCATCATGAAACACGCCATGAAGCTGAAACCCTTGGCCGCCTTAGCCCTTAGCCTTAGTCTTTCAAAGCCTTCTTCAGTCCCAAGTCCCTCCAGTCCGGGCAAACAATCGCCCAAGCGGCTTTCCAGCCTTCGATCCCCATCGAAATTCGAGTTGGATGGAGGAGCCTTGGCAGCAAAAAGCAGGTGCCAGCGTCCCTGTATTGGCCAGAAGCGCCAGGTTAGGGGGACTTCCGAGTATTGTAGACTCGACCGGAAAGTATAAGCTAGCTTATCAAATGATCCTCCTGTCTGTCCGATGTCTCGGATTGAACTTCCGAACGGTCGGTGTTCGGCAGAAAGCGCACGCCTTTTCTCCTTGGATCATGGGCAAAGCTGGAAAAACCAAGGATCTGGCGTACGTCATGCGGTTTCACTCCGGGCCTCGGATTCTCCAGAACGGGGGGGGCAGATGCACCTCCGACACGCGCCACCTGGGCCGGCTCAACGGCACGCCAAAACCGACCGCCCCCGGCCCTGCACCGGCCACGTGTCGAAGGATGTCCTCCAACGGCGACGTGCAGATCGCAGGGGTTGGGGGAAGTGGCGGTCAGCGGCGCCAGGGGCTGAAGTATTTTGAAGAGCTCTCACTGAAGATGTTGGTAATGAACCTCAGTGCATCCACTGAATTCTGACACATTCTGAAACTGGATATTGACCTGAAGCCCCACCAAAATCCTTGCGACAAACACGAGACCAAACAGAAGACTGGATCATGAACTTGGAACCCAGGGTTGCTGCCAAAATCTATGATGCACTAGGCCTTCAAAGGGCTCAAAGGCGTTGTCTGGTGGGTGACACCGCCTTCAAAACACGAGATCTGACCCTGTCAGTTTCCCTGGATAATGAAGGTTAACCGCTGTTCACCTGTTCTGTTCAGTGGGGAAACCAATCCCCCCCAACAAACATCTTGCAGGTCGCCACTTGCTCCTGGTATAGGAGAGAACTTCCATGGCTCGGTGGCTCATCGGATCGTCTGAACCCTTTGTTCTTCGGCAGTTCCTCATCTTCCCCGCCGGGCCCCGCCGATCCACCGCCGAACCCGCCGGGTTGCAGAGCGATCTGTGGAAATCATATTGTCCTCCACGGTTCGGCGGTCGCGCAACGAGTTCGACTGGCGAAGGAAATGCGGACCGCGTTTTGAGGGCCCCCAAGAACAACGAGTACTACAGTAAGTTGACTGGACCTTGCCGGAAGTGATCGAGGAGGTGTTGGTGGGAAGCAAGCCCGGACATTTGGGTCTTGGGTTCGTGAACCTGAGATTTTCCTACTTCCAGGGGGGCGACGCGAAGGAAGGAAGGATAGCTCCCTTGACCTCAGAAGAACGTTTGCCGATCAAGATCCTTCACGTCTAATATCACCAACCTCTTTATATCCCTCAAGGCTTGGGTACTGGCTTGGGTATATTCCATTACCAGACTACCAGTGGATGACGATGGCTAAACAAAACCGTTTCTTCAAGACAGTGATTACTGTATCTTTTTCCGACTGTTACGGGTAATGGGAGGCACCCTATACCTTGAGTGTCATTGAGGGTGAACCTTCACTTCTTCCTTGTGTGGTGTCCTTGTCATTCTCGCACCCGGCAGCTGTTCTGAAAAACCCGCTATAGAGCCGACTCTAGCTGGCATGATCAACCCAAACCTCATAAAAACCAACACCTCAATTCCACAAGAACCACACCCAATCCGCACCACTGACCACAGGAAAAGCATCAAATGGAGAAAAAAACCATTCCACGCGGCCAGGGATCCACGCAGGAAACGAACATCCGGGTGCCCGTTCCGTCCTTGAGAATCTGGGTAGTTTGCTGGGTCGCCTCCTTTCGTGGCAGAATGATTACATTGTTTCGCTCGATCTCGAAGGTCAAGTACTCCTCCTGGCAGAGTTGCGAAACACTTGAAGTTGATGGGCTCGGAGTTGGCCGAACTCCAGGAAGCCTGGACAAACATAGACATGCAACGCATTTCCGCCGGGACGAAAGGAGGAAGTCTTTAGAGACGAGGAATGCCCTGGGCCCTCACGTTCTTCCCGAAACGGTGCCTGCTCCCAGACGCTTCTCGCAAAGGTGAATGAAGGTGAAAACACAGAGACTGTGGAGATTAGTAGAGTTCTTACCCAAAAATGCATGTATGGTATATATATATATGCCCACATTGACCCCTTTTCAACCACTCCAATCTATGGTAAATATGCCAGTCCCAGTAGTCCTGTTTGGGTTAGACCGTCGCCCAGGTCCCTTCAAAAACACACCAAAAGCGGCTCCTCACAGCCTTGCACCATGAGCATCAAGTGCTCCAAATTCTTCACCTCTCAGCAGGCGCAAGGGGCGTGCTTGGGCGATGCAGCTTCGTGGGAAATCAGTCGCATCTGATGGATTTCCGAGTGAAATCAGCCAAAGAACTGACTCATAAAAAGCATTCATTCATCAATTAATGATAATTAATGAATCTTTATAAATCATCCACCCGCTTTTCTATTCCATGTGCTGGTCGCCTCAAAGCCATCAGGAGGCACCGGAACTCTCACATGCACAGCCCAATTCGGCACGCCTTCCGGCCGTTGAACCTCACCAGCAGCACGTTGTAGAAGTCCTTGGGCGGCTGCAGGGGGCAACACATGCAACATCGTGCATGTTCCTCCCCTGCCGACCGGCCCCAGAAAAAGAGGGTACCTGGCGGCCAGGGTGACCTGCTACCAGAAGGAGGCTGCTGGTGCAATGAGATGCGCACTGTTTGAGGAGGTGATCTGCAATGCTTTGCAAACTCTTGGATGAAAGCCTTGCAAAGGAGTGGCCCCACTCAATGTCAGAACCCCCCAATGGCATACCCCACTCAATGCCATCTGCAATGCTTTGCAAAGCCCCCCAAATTGGTGGGGTCTGCCATTCTATGCCCTAGATGGCCCCTAAGCCTCGGACATAGCAACCAAATCAGCGGGTGTCACACCTACGGCCGGGATCACTCCGAATCCATTTGGCCCTTTCCGAAAGGCCTTTGAATGGCTAGATGTTGACCAGGCATAGGTGAAGCCGTGATGCGTTGCAACTACCCAAAGCAGCAAACCTCGAATGGTCCACCTACGAGTATTGTACTCTTTTCCACATCTTGCCCCAGCCGCCTTCGCATGTCATGTGGCTGAACGTGGCTGGAAGTGAACGGAGACAAAACAGCAAAACCCTTTCAAGGATGAACAAGGCTCAATGGTATTTGGGCTGTCTTTTATGTGAAGGTGCCCGCGATATGCTCTATCAAAACATATCACCACATATTCCAAACATGGTCAAAACTGATTGGTGGTGGACATCCCTGGAACACTCACCTCACCAAAAACATTCATCCCCTACCTCGAACTACATCACCAAGCACACCTGGATGCCGAATCCATCTGTCACCCGAAATGCCGCAGCCGAAGGCTCGGTAAAGCCCACGGTCAGTGGAGAGGCCAGGACCTGCGAAAGCACCTGAGCTCCGACCCGGCACGAAGCCGGACCCGGTGGTGCATGGAGGTGCACTGAGGTGGCCACGGGAAGCCACAGGTGTGTGAAGGAAGAATCTCCAAGAAATGGGCCGAACCCGAACCCCGCTGGAAGGAAGGAAAAGAAACTCAGGCTCAAACCGCCCCAAACCCTTTTAAAATGCTTTATCGGTATAGCTGGACCTTCCAACGCCAAATGTCTGCCGATTTTTTTAAATAAATGGACGAAAAGGCACACATCTGTCACAGTCGGAAGATCCAGGATGCAGGTCATCTTTAAAGGTGCGTACTACTGTGCGTACTTCTCCCAGTCCGCTCGGCATAGGTCCTTGCTGTTCCGAACGGTGGGGACCCTGTTGAACGGGGTATCAGCCCGCAGTCCGCTTGGAACGGAGCAAAAAGCCGGCCGGAACGGATCCCTTTCGGTTCGAGGCCACCTGGGCCTGGGCCAAGCGACCAAAGGGTGCCTCAAACACCAGCGCTTTTGTGCCAGCAGCCCTGCGCCGTCGCTTCTGAAGAGGGTCCATGATACCCTGATTTTTGGGTCCAGGCACGATGACTTCGTGGTCCATGCTTTCGCGGACTCCATCAAACCAATGCCACAGCATGCTGATGGGAGCATCTTTGTGATAGTTGGCACCTGTTTTTGCGGTCACGCGACGCGAGAAAAAGGCGAGAGGCCCGAGCAGAACCAGTTTGACATGACATGATCATTTTTGACACTCAATAAAGAGACCTCCGGATTTCAGTGAAAGCCGGGTGATGCTTCCTTTGCTTGTTTCCGTTGTTGTGGGATGTTATGGGCTATGGCTACATTGACCCCTGAAACCACCCCAATGTAATTGGTAAAAGTATTCCGTACATTGCAGTGTCTGGATATTGGTTGTCGTCTGGTTGGAACTCGATTTCTGCATGTCGAAGAAGCCTCCCGGACTTGAACACATAGTTTCCCCCGCTACTTCTTTCCCTGGCTCAGCCATCCAAGACTCTGCTTCGATTGACCCGACTTGGATGACCGACAAGGTAGTCAACCAGGATTCAGGAGGGGTAGCCATTCATGCATAGATCATCATAGATCTGTAGGTCCTTTGCATTGATGGTTTCGAACTAGCACGATCTTCCACAGTCTCAAGAGGACGGTGCTCCAGTTTTCAGATGTATTCAGAACCGAGGTTTCAGGATTGCTTTGCTGCTATATAGCTTTCTCCGTCACTTGCAACCGAGGGAGTGTCACACGAATGTCACTTCTCAGTCTGTGTAGCAGTTCCTTTTCAACGACCCGGCCGAAAAGCCAAAGCACCAAAGTCATCCCACAGGAAGGGCTCAGACAGGGGCACGAAGACCAAGCCCCCAATGATGAAGTACCTCACAGCACAGTCACACGCGACCACACCTTTCCCACCTCTATTAGTCTATAACACACGCCTTAACAATTCATGGAAGTGGATGGCATGGCCGGAAAAAACAATATTTTTCTCCTTTCATATCGCTGGAGGGAGGGTAAACCAAAGAGTCCTGACTTTCTGCCTACCCCCCTAAGCCACTTCGTAGCAAGGAGGTGAAGTGCACCGACAGTGCATTGCTTTCAAAACATCTGTGCCGCGCAGACAGTGGGACGGAGCACACGAGCGGCGACGGCCCTGTGACAACCC